GGGAACAGGTTAAGGAAACTATGATAACATGGGCACAAAATTTTGGATAGAATATTGAATTAGAAAAGTGGCAAAAGCTATGGGAGAGAAATATTAAGGTAACTTTAGCAACTTCGTATAAAAAAAATTTATATAAAATGTTTTATAGATGGTATTTGTCACCAAATTGATTAGCTGAGATGTTTCCAAATATGTCAAACAGATGTTGGAAATGTAAACATGATGTGGGTACTTTTTACCATATGTGGTAGACCTGTGAATATGTGAAAAAGTATTGGATTAAAATACATAAATGGCTTGAGGAAATGCTACAAAAACCCTTAGCTTTTAAACCTGAAATTTTCTTGTTAGGCATTATACCGGAAAATATTAGCAAACAAGAAATGTATTGGATGCTACATTTAATCACAGTGGTGAGGATTGCGCTTGCGCAATACTGGAAGAGTGAGGAACTACCCACGGAGGAACTGATTTTAAAAAAGATTCTGGACTGTGCAGAAATGGACAGATTGACTCTATTACTGAAGGAGAAAGAAGATACTGACTTCTATCAAACTTGGGACCTTTTTTATGATTGGCTGGAGAAACGGGACTTGGCCTAGATTTAAAGATGTTTTTACATTTTTATAAATCGATTTGAATATGATTATAGAATGTTAAAAAGATATGTTATAGGGGGCTGACCCAGTACGTCCGATGTATTCGATGATTGGTGTTTTTTAGTTTTTTTAGTTTAAAATCTTAATAAAAATATGCAAAAAATGGAAAGAAACTAGCATCATACAAAATTCTGACAAGGAATATGTGATAAAGCCAATGGACATGGTTTTCAAATAAATTTGGTCCCTTACATTACAACATTGCAGACTTTCAGACATCGCTAGAATGCCTCCAGAAATGCAAACTAAGGCATTTTAACACAAGCTACAAGTTTAAGATTGCTCTGTACATCAGTGATTTGCAAAACTTGCAATAAAACTGAATACATGGCTTGTTTATATTATTTAGTCATAGTTGACTAACTTCACCTATGCCACAAGAAATTCAAAAAGGAAAGGTGAAATCTAGGCCATTAAAAATCAGTGGGTGTTGTGCTATCAAGAAGCAGATTGAGACCCCAAGAACCTTCTAGACTTTCCCCACAACTGGCAGTTCTATTACAGGTAAGTCATACTTAAATGATTGTTGTAATATTCTATCAACAGGAAAATGGCTTTCTTTGATTGTCCACCTATCTCCATGACATTTGCACTGATGAACACTGTTCACTATGTATGCTTGCACGATTTTAATAACTTTAATTTTTAGTTAATGGGCAAAACAATTCTAAGCTCCCTAAGCATTTCTGCTGGTTTCCAGAATTGCTTTTTGAACCACTAACTTGTTCAAGCAATGAATCTGGCTTGTGCAACAGGCAGAGTGGGAGCACTGAAGCAGTAATGGAGAAAGCCTGGAATTCCAAGAGATAGCTAATTGACTGCTGAGGGAGACAGGGCTAAGGTTGAATCCAAACAGAAGCCCACTTGCATAACCAGACTTTCCAATCTTCTCCTCCCACTTATGAAATCCTATCCTCATGATCTCTTCTAGATCCCCAACCCTCCCAAGCATAAAGGGTCACACAGAGAGCTTCAGGGAAAAGAGGAAATCTGTTTAACCAGTAGATTCTCTTCTGCTTGTGGACAGTCACCGCTGGACCAACCCAACCCTTAGACAAGATACACTGCCCAGGTTCCAAGGTCCAATTCTTAAGCTCTTTTGCAAGAGTGCATAATCCGTATCATTTAATGCATATTAGTTACACTTTAACTGTGAAGAACGTCCCAAGTATGCACTCTTATATTATACATCTAACACTGTTCAATAGACCACATTTCTTTTAAAGGAATAGACCTTTCAAACTCTGGAGTCAGACTACTACAGGTTCACTTTACCAATCTTCTGAAGCAGGGATGAGCAACCTGATGCCCTCCATATGTTTTAGATTTAGACTACAACTGATAATCTCTGACCATTAGCCATGCCTGCTGGGACTGACTGGAATTGCAGCCTACAATATCTAGAGAACATCAACTTGCTTACCCTTGGTCAAAACAGTTATTTCCCACATGGAAATGGTTTTTGCATCCTTTTGTAGAACTGCACACAAAATGCAAAGTTCTTCTGTATATGCATACATACTGAAGCCATAATTCAGGTCAGAGACCAACATGTCAGATAATGATTCATTGTCCCCTTCCTATTCTTTCAACAGTATAAATGCATCCTTATTCAGTTAGTGACTCAAAGTATTATAGTTTGTGCCATAATCTATAATAGTTATACTATGAATGCAAGTCAGTCATGCTTTAAAAGATGAAATGAGAACAGGAACAATATTACACACTGTCAATGCTATTTTTGTGCCCAGTCTTGTTCTTCAGTTTTTCAAAATAAGTATGAATTATAAACACATTCCAAAGTTTGATAAAGCTATCTATTATGTTCCCTAGCAACCCTCCTCAACTCAGTTTTTTTTCTAATTGAAAGTGATGCAAATCACCTTTACAAAAACTACTTAAATGAGTACACCTATTCAGAAAAACACTGCACACTAAATGTGCTAAATATGTGTTCAGCACAGTTAATGCAGCTTGAGATGCAGTTCTTTGAATTCAGAAGGAAAAGCAAAACACAAGCTGATAACACTAGATTAAAAGATATAAACACTTGTTACGTTCATAGAATAGCCAGACATATTACCATATGTTATTCCCCATTACACAATGTTCACACTTTCATGCCAAGAACAAACAATGGAAGTACTTGATACATTCACTAGTGTACAAAGGTTGTCTCAAACTGCAGAATTTCTAATTTACTTTGTGGATCTGCAAATCCAGGTGACACTGGAATTAAGTCCAATCATAAGCAGTTTAATTTTTGGACTGTACTTTCTGAGCTGTATGTGACACAATTAATAAATGGAGTAGTAATTTCACTAAGAATGAATTTTACAAGATCTACAGGAAGTATTCCACAAAGTCAAAGAACATGGTAGGAAATATTTCAACTTCAGAAGTAGTTAATCAGCAGATAACGGCAAAGCCATATATAAAAAGCAAGTCTTCCTTTATATTACAGGTTACAGTAATAATAATTTGCATTAGTATCTTTCATCAAAGTTCTTCAAAACAAATTCATAGAAGCCAAAAATCTATATGCAACAAAGTCAACTTAAAGAGTAATGAAAACATCTTAGTGACCATTTAACTTCTCCATTCAAGTCAGTCAGTCAACCCTTCTGAATTAACAGCTACCCAAAAGCAACAGTCACAATGCAATGGATTAAGTGCCACCTGATACCCTCAACTGTATCTACCAAAACATCCCTACAAACAGAAGCTTATTTAATAATGCTCAATATGATAGCATAGATCCCGTTTCACTGGGCATAATATTCATGCTCCTATGTCAGGGGTGGGGAAACAGAGATAGGAAAGTCATTTTCCTTTCCCTTACTCTTCATCCGTACTCCACACAACCAGCCAGGTGGCCCAACACTCCTCCATCTTCGATCATTTCCCGCTGAGGGGCCAAGACAGGTGCTTCATATTACTTTTTAGGGCATTATGGGGATGAGTGGTAGCAAAACAGAGAAAGAGAAAATAAAATTACATGTAGTATTGTCAGACTACAAAAGAATCCCCTTAGCCTCATGTCCATGCCCCGTACACAGATACTATCTTTCTTTACAACATTTCCACACCTGCCTTCAGGACATTCTCTCAATCTTTTCTTAATGGCTCCTTACACTCTCGCCACCACCCCGGCTTCTCACGCACCCCAATATTCGTGTCCAAGACAAAGGGAGATGCATATTCCATCTATGATACCTCAGAACACAACGGAGTCACCATCCACTTATCTCTCAATGCACTCTACCCTCCCTTTCCGGCTCGCTGTCACCTACCTACAGCTCCTACTCCACATCCTCTGTATTTCCATTTCTTTCCCCCAGCTCGTCCAACCCCCTACACACAAGTGTTCCAAACACACCAAACCACTCGCTCTCCTTTACCTGCCTTGAAATGGAGGCGGGGCGGTGGGTCACGCACACCAAAGGACGGCTCATATTCACGCGCTCTTCAGGAGGCGGACAGCGAGGATTCCAGCCGCGCGGCAGTCAGGGTCTAACACCGCGGGAAGCATGTCAAGGCAGGGTGGGAAAACATTGAGAAAAGCTGAGTCGGGCCGTTTTCAGCGCAAACGGCAACTAAGTATGGGCCGCGGCAGTCTCGGGCCCTGCCCCACCACCTCCCTTCGCCGCACCGAGAAAAGAAGAACGCGTACAGCACGGTCCAGAGGCCGCTAAAAGACCATCTGAGTCGCTTGCTTGGCTGGAAGCCACCATAGGACGGACAAGGGCGGAGCCCGACTCTCCTCGAAGACATTTACCAATCGACATGGCCTTGAATTTGATGGACGGTGAATATAGCCAATCATAATGGACATTTTTTAATATACTACCGACGTCTTGGCCACCTTGTGATTTGACAGAGAACTTGAGTGACAGGCAGTTGACTCAATCGCACCAACAGCCTCGACCGAAGCTGAAGAAATAGTGGGATGGGGAGAAGGCTGATACTTGAGGACGCTTCAACTCCATTGGTTATCAATCGAAGGAGGATAATAAGCAGGACACGAGGCCTATCAGAGTCCGCTTGCTGGTGACTGCAAACTATGTGAACCAATTCGGAACTGTTTGGATGGGCCAAGCGGGGTGCAGCTGTCAAGTGAGCAGCCGTCGTTAATTATTGCAGGGCCAGGACGGAGTCGTTAATTGCTAAGTAGTGTCTCATTTTGCTGTATGCGGCGTTTGGGATAAGTAAAGTTTGAAAGACTAAAACTTGCGCATACGAATAGACACTAAATGTTATGGTTGTATCAAGGCACGTAACTTCATTAATAAAACCCTATGCGCCCTTGGCTAGTAATGGGGTAAGTTATGGAACAGAGTGACAGGTGTGTCGGAGGAGTAACGCTCTCATGAATAGACTTCCTCATTCATCTTTAACATGAAAAAATGGATTGCACCTGTCTGAGTAGTTTCTTTTTAAAAAACCAGAGTCTTATTCTTTCATATTGCTTTTTTCTATTTTATTGGTAAAAATTAAAAGATATTTTAAAAACTAAGGCGTGGACCTATAAACGAATTAGCACTGTAAAACAGGACCACAGCTGTTATTCTGTTCATTGGCCCACACTGTCTCTGCTGCCTGTCACTGCATCCATTCCCATTATGTTAGAACTAGAATCAAGGAATGTGTGGTCTCCATTCCTGTCACATTGTGAAACTGCTTTCTGTTTTATAAAGACAGTGTCAAAATAAAACAATTACATGGACAACTTAATATATGTCACAAGAGGCCTTACTGAAAAATAGGGAAAGAATTAGGAGACACTGTTCCGGATTCTGGAAAAAGGATGCTAGCATGCAGTGTATTTATCTGTTCTATATTAGAGAATGCCAAGTAATAAACAAGGATTTTTAATAGAATATGCTGATGTTTTCCATTCCTGACAGGTTCTCAAATGGATTTTTACCTTTTCTGATATTCATCACCCCATACCATGTCATACTGATTTAGTAAAATTAATATATTTTGACAAATGTGGACATAAACTGTTGTCTGGGAGTGGCCCACCCAACAGCTCCCTGAGACATTTTATTTATTTGTTCACTCTACTTTCTTTTGGCCCTGAACCAGACACATACTGCTTGCAGTTAACCAAACACACATACACCCAGAGAGCGAGAGAGAAAGTAAGAAAGAGAGAGAGAGAGAATCATTGTTACGTGCCTGACTTATAGTGACCTTATGAGTGAATGCCTTCCAAAATGTTCTAGCTTTGACAGACTTGCACAATTCTTGTAAACTCAAGGCTGTGGTTTCCTTTATGAAACTAATTAATCTCATAGCTGGTCTTCTTCAATTTATGCCTTCAACTTTCCCTAGCCTGAGTGTCTTCTCCAGTGAGAATTTTCGTGATGTAACTGAAATATGACAGCTTCAATTTTATCATATTTGCTTCCAGGGAAACATCTAGCTTGGTATGATCTAGGAGCTACTTGCTCATCTACATGTTGTTCCAGGGTATTCACAAAGCTCCCCTCCAGCACCATGCTTCAAACACATCAATTTTCTTTCCGTCAGCTTTCTTCCCTGTCCAGTTTTCACATCCATATATAGTGATTAAGAGTACAATAGTGTGGGTGGTCTTGGTCTGCAGTGCAATGTCCTTATGTTTTATATTCTTTTCTAGTTCCTTTATTACTGTCCTTCCAAGTCTCAGTCTTGGTGGCAGTACTCTTTGAACTGGTGATTGAAACAAGGTATGCAATATTTCACAATTTCAGTTTCTTTGTTGTTGACCTTAAAGTTGTATAATTCTCCTGTAGTCATAATTTTTGTTTTTTTACTATTCAGCTGCAGTCTTGTATTTGCATTTTCTTTTTATACGCTAATTAGAAGCCCTTTCAAACAATTAAACAGTGATACATTCTAAAAGTATAGGACATACACTTATGAAGAAGGTTCAAATACAGTGAAATACTAAAAACTTGTCCCAAAGCCTTCCCAAGCAAATATATTTTGATCATGTGCATTAATGTTAGCCTAGTGGGAATTCCAAGGAAATAATGTCCCTACTGAAATGGTGTTGCTCTCTATAGTCATCGATAAAGCTTCCAGTGGCTGTGGTGCTTAGATCAGGGATAAATTAAATAAGGTAAACACTGGGGAAGAGGGGGTCATATGTGGTGAGAGCCAAGTGTGGTGTAGCAGTTAAGAGCATGGGATTGGGACACAAGAGATCTGCATTCCAGTCCTCGCTTTGGGCCAGTCACTGACTCTCAGCCCAACCTATTTCACAGGGTTGTTGTTTTGATGATAAGATTAGATTGAGAAGAAGATAATTCTGTAAGCCTCCTTGAGTTCCTTAATAAGAAAAAAAGTGGGATATAAATATAATAAAAAATAAATATGTGGGAAAGCTGTCCTCTAAGCAATGGTATAGGTTATTATGATTTAGGACTATTTAGTCCCAGAATATTTAGGACTTTAAGAACCGTGAATTGTGTTCAAAAGCTATCTGGAGACCAATCCAGGTATTCACCTACTTTTCATATGATAAGATGAATCAAGCAGATAGTGCTAACTAGCAACCAGGCAGCCACATTGTTTGTTTTGTTTTGTTTTAGGCAGCCATGTTTTTGTTAAGTTGAACCTTGAGGGGATAGGCTCCACTGCAGTAGCCCAAACTTGAAGTCTGAACATCATTTACTTTCTTTGCAATCTGTTTATGACCTATCTATGCAAAACATTTATTATGACGGAGACATATAATTTGCATTTAATTAAAGCAATGACCACGCAGTACTGCTCTGTAAGGATCATACTTCTGATTACTGACTAGGTGCTGTGATGTTTAAATTGTAAATCAGGATAAAATACATCTTTACACATTTTCTGCAGTTATTTCATACATGCATGCGAGGTGCCAGCAAGTTATTTACATTTTATTGTTGTTTAGTGAAATGTAGAGATCGTTGTTAAAGGATGTCCTGTTCAACTATAGCTTAGTATGCTAAAAGATTAAGGGATGGTGACATCTAGTGAACAATATCAGTGATTGCAGATATATGCAATTAAATTTCGGAGAGTTTTATGTGGCAATTGCCTTTCCCTGGAAAAAGTAAAATGCTTTGTATTTTGCATAGAAATGGGTGTGTGTTGTGGGGAGACCAAATACATATCTAGAAAGGAGAATCAACAATGTGTGGGATCAGCATAAAATAATGTATATCCTTAGTCTGAGAAATCATCATTTCTCAAACTAATTATATTACTGGGGGAATGTAAAGTTAGTGACTTTCTGTGTCTGTATTACCTTCAGTTTTGTGATATGGGATATTTGTGTTCATAAATGCCCCTTAAAGGATCATTCTTATTCTAGAGCACCACAACTATTATGATTACAGTCACAAATTAATTTATTGTAGACTGTTCTTTTTCATTTTAAGCTGTCAATGCTATGATCAAAAAGCCTATGACCTAATTTCAATTTTTTTACATTATCTGGGTAGAAATGTCATTAGATTGAGACATTGTGAAGGAAGGAATATAAAAGTTCTAAATACATAAATGAATTTATTAAAATAAATAAATGCATTTAGATCAGTTGCAAGATGTTTATAGCCATAGTTACAATCACTGATGAAATATAATCTAGTCACAGGAAAGTAAGTGTATGTTTTTTTTCTCCAGGGATGTTGACCATGTCAACTTTTTACTAGGATTCTATCTCTTCTGAAACTCACTGATTCTAATGTAGAAACAGTAAAGATAATATATTTTAAGAGTATACATTTTTTTAATCTACATTTCCAAGAGAGATAAAACAATTTTTTGCCACAGGTCACAGATGTATATATTCTGTCAACATGTTATTGACAATTAACAATCTTATGCGTGTTTAGATGGAAAAATTACAGCAATTCCTGACATTCCCATGCAGTATGGCTGGGTGGAACATGCTGGGATTTGTAGCTGAGCTAAGGTCAGATTTTTATATTTGTGATGTATCTGCATATGATACCATCAATGCACATGTCACTTTGCAAGGTACAAAGCAAACCAGATTGTTAACAATGTGCACTTTAAACATAGACAAAAATGGAAGAAAGAATATAAAACAAAAGGTAAAGCCTTAACAGAAGCAAATGCTTTACAAACTCAAGTGAGTGAAAAGGAATATGAGCATCTTAAGTCACAGTGTCATCAGCAGAAACTCCAAGATGAGTAACCTTGCTTGTATCAAATAGTGATCTGTTGTGATCTGTTGTGCAGGTAGAAACAAATAATTTTGGATAGGTGAGATCCAAGTATGATCAACTGTCTAAAATCTCAAGTTCCCACCCCACTTCAAGGATCCCATAGTAGTTTTCAATCCTTCAGTCATTCTAAAATTGCACAAACATGGTAAAACAAAGTAAGGAAGACAGGATCTAATTCTGAGTTAGAGGAATCATTTAAAAACTATTAGCATCATTACTTTGTATTAGGTAACTAGAAGTGGAAGGATGTTAAAACATCTTGACAATATTATCACATCAAGAATGTGTCCTATGCTGCATGATTCTCAGGCCAACTCACTTACAGTTCACCACCCAGACCATTCTGTCAGCCTTCTACCAAATATAAACCAAGTACTTATCAACTTCCTGGGGACATTTTGTGGGAAACATTTTCCATTACTCTTCATTTATTTGGAAAGTTTCTGGATACCTTGGTACAAAGAAGGTTGGAATATAGCTATTAATGATAAATTAACTTGTGATATTGAAGTGAGAAAAGGGTATATAAAGGGGAAAAACAATGAGATTTGGAATGTATTTATTGAATATGCATTTTGAAAAAGGAAAGGACTGGAGCCTTCAGAAGAGTCACTGCAATTTTGGCAGGGAAACTTCTTGAAATAATTTTTGACATTGTTTTCAACATGTATCCAATGGTCTTGGTGATGGGGTACATGGTATTTTTCTGGTTTATTTTAATTGTACATATAATGTATATGTTTTTATTCTACTTGTAAGTTGTTTAATATGTATTTTACATTATGAAATTAATAAAAATATTTTTAATAAAGGGACATTTCTGGATGCCAAAGTCTAGAATTTGTTGCACTGGTTGTGATTGTAGTTGAGTATGGCAGATTACAGCCTGAACTTTTAGCCTAGAAACTTGTGGATATTTCAGAAACTGATTATTTAAACATTTATTATAAATATACACATAAAAAAATCTCATGCATTACATAAAGTCATAACTGCAATTAAAACCTATGCCCTCCTAATAATCACCAAACATACTAATCCTATTTTCTATTATACAATAGTATCAGAAAATCAACATTGCAAAAGCCCTAAAGTTATTAATGTCCAAATCAAATGACTGTTGCATACAATAAATGGCATCCAGAGTTATATAAATTTATGTTTTTTCTGTGTATCCTTCCATAGATTAACAAATTCTATTAATTTCACCATTGAAGTGATGCACCATTTCTTATCAATGCATTCTTTTATAAAAAGTGTAATAGGCACCTAAATAGTCTAAATGAGTGGTATTATGGTTAGGACATTTAGCAATAATAAAGATGAATATTACACTAAGATTTCTGTTTATATTTGAAAACGTTCCCATATCAGTACCAATGGCTACATTAAATCAGTGGAATAAATTAATAATGAAGTTTTTATGGAATAATAAAAAGTTGAGAGTTTCTGCTTCAACCCTGCAAAACCTTCTTGTCTAAATATATAAGTGAATATAGAACTAAGTATACTTGAAAAGGTAATTAACCAAGGGTATATATCTACGACATTGTTAGCTGATATTTATTGCATATTGATTGTAGTAGATGGTGATAGAGGACATTCTTTTAAGTTAAAACAAAATGTTAAAGATAAACATCTCTTTTGATCAGTGGAACTACATCTTCCAGAGTGGTCCTAAACACTCCCCATGTGTCAACCCAAAAGAACAGTTTTATAGAAACATCTTTTATGAGCTTAGACTGATATATCAGGTAAGAACCCTTCTTTGAACTGTCCGGAGAGCTTTGGCTATTGGGCAAGACAGAAATCAAATAAATGAAATGAGATACCCTTACCATGGTTATCCATGTTCTGGTAACAGTCAGACCTAATTGCAGCAATAGATTATATGTGGGACTACTCAGAAACTTTAACTGCTCTGGATAGAGCAAAAAGACAATTGACTGAAATGAACAGTTTGGAAAATATTTCCCCAGAATATTTTTTTAAGTGTAACTGCCTTCCAATTTATTCCAGGAACAACTGGAACTGTGGTATCTGAAGGACTGTTCACTGATCTTCTCCCATAGCAACCTGCTCATTTGTACTGGCTATACAAGCTTTAAGCTACAGTATGCTGGCAATATGCTTTTGCCCTGCCTCTTTCCTTTTAGTCTCATCCATCATGGCTATGTTGTTCATGGGAGCTTCTTCAATATTGAATATGCCTCTCAATGTGAAAGAGGTTCTCCGCGTCTACAGTAGAAGAAGCTTAACTATTTGAATTAGAGGTGGAAAAAAGTGGGGGCACAAAAGTTTCTAAAATATATTTGTAAGAGAAGTAGATATTATGAGGAAATATAGGCAGCTAGTCCAAAGCATGGATAGTTATTCTAGTGGCTATTCCCAGTCCAGATTGAGGCTAGCAAGCCAGACAGCTTGTAAGAGCTTTCCTAAAGGGTCTAAAAGTAGCACTTGGAAGAAAGGATCAAAGTTAAAGCTTCACAAGAGTCACTATGTTTTCTTATTTATCTTTCCTATGTATTCAGGAAAACCAAGGGAGACAGACATCCTGAAAGCCACACTCCAGGAAGCTCTATTCATTTGCTGGATATCCTCCCCTCCCCTCCATCGCCACCTTTTGACTAATTATATAGCTCTATTTCTACTTATGACTGCAAACAGATTATCACTCCTCCTTGAATTATATCATACAATGTACAATATGGCTTTGTGCTACAAAGTTATATATTACTAAATTGGGATGGAAAGAAGCAGCAATGATTTCCTGAAATCATTGGAACCTTTATAATTCGTAGCGGTTTTACCCTAATTTAACTGGTAAGAAAAGTTTGGGGCTACAACTCCCAGGATTCCTGATAATTGGCTATGTTGGGAATGATGAAAATTGAAGTCCATTTTGTGGGGGGGAGGTTGAAGGTTGGAAAAAGCTATTCTAGTTCAAGAATGTTTCTATTCAAGACTTTTATAGCACCTTCTTTCTGTCTCATTAGAGAATTTTATGGAGGGTCTGGATGTCATCATCTTCCATAAAACTCAAGCCTCCCAGTTCCCTACTTTGTCTTTTCTATATCATAGAAAATCCATTAAGAAAATTAGATGGAATTACTGCACAATGTCTTATGTTTAGGAGCCCTAAGTACCACTAAGATTATGGTACTAATAGTGTGAATACTCCTATGTATGCTTCCACTTAGAAGAAATTCCTATTGACATTACCTCCAAAAAAGTGTTTATAGGATCAATCCCATTGGCTATCCCATACTGCTTCTGATGAAACTTTAGGTGTGGTTGATCAGGAAGGCAAGCTGCAAAATGTTTTAATTGAGATGTCTCTAAACTCTGCATGCTTCTTTAATCTTTAGGATCTTGCAACCGATAAATTGAACAAGCTACGTGCTTTAAAATTTTACTCAGTGAATTTCAGCCACTATCTTTTCAGGCCAAAGGAACCGGACACTGCTTTTATCTAGTTCCTGGTATTGTATGATATTTTATTTAGTTTTTACAGCTGGGTCCAGGATAATTTTGTTGACTAGTTAATATCTAACATACTTGAAATACACATAGCTAAACTCTGGCCAACATTTTGGGCACAACAAACCATGTAACAGAACATCATTAGCCCCAGTACCATCACTGAGGACTGCAACATGCTTTGGTCCTCTGCCACCAACAGGGTCCAGATAATTATCACCGGCTGGAGATTGCAAACTTGTGTTGCATCTAGGGTGGGCCTTTGGGTCTTCACAGGATCACCTAGAGTTTGGCAAGTGGTGGGGGCAGTGGCAAACGCTTGGTGTTTGCATCAGGACTAGCATGATCAAGATGGGGCAACTAGGGTTGTTGCAACAACCTTTTGTTATTAAACAAATACAGATTTAGTTGGGAGTGGATGCACTGTACATGGTTGCAACTGTACATATTATTTATTTTACTTTAAGAATATGATATTCTTAAACACAGGGGAGCTTTCTACAACACGGGAGCTTATTTTCAAGCAAATGAGCATCAGGGCAGCAAAAGCAAGCACCATTTCAGTCGTATAGTCAGGATATTGTGTCAGTGAATCTAAAGTGCTAAACTGCACACATTCAAGAGGATTTTTTTTCTTTAAATCAGGCTCGGCAAATATTCCTTTGTTATGCTCTAACAAATCAGGAGTATAGAAACTGTTATAAAATATGGAATGGACGGGGGGGGGCAGAAAGGAATTTTAATTGTGAGCTTCACAACTGAAGTAATACACATGGCAAACCTCCCCACCCCCATCCATAAGTCCATTTAGTCTAGAGTCTAAAATCGTGTGTGCACAGTGCTATCACAAACGAGAAGATAGGACTCACGAGCTAGGAAACAAGTAGCCAATCAAAGTCGTTAACTCAACTGGCCTAACTCCGACCAATAACAGAAAGAGGATCAGAAGGGCGTTTGTTTCAACTACCGGAGAGGACGGTGTCTTCCACTTCGACGGGCGATGTATTTTCAAAGCAGGCGGGAGTGGACACGGGCGGTGGAACAGGCAGGAATGTGGGGGGATCTCACGCGACTTAGGGCCGCGAAGACCTGACACGCCCGGACTATTAATCCGCCTGTGTGTTTGTGAATGGACCACGTGGCAGTGACTCAACCTCTCTAGTCTACAGTCCTTAGGAGGCGCTGGCGGTGGCTCTGTGTTTGCGACTTCTTTAGCTCTTGCTCCGACGGATCGTTCGCTGCCGCCAACCAGCGCATTCGGAGCCAGTCCAGCATGGCGGGAACCTGTCTCTCTCTGTGCAGCCTCCACACTGTGTGCTGCTTCCTCGCTGGAACACTTCTGTCTCTGCCAGGTACGTGGGCTGGGCGCCCTGTCCTCTTGAATTGATTAGACGGCGGGAACTGGCGCCAGCATCCTAACCAAGCGAACCAATTCAGATACCCGCGGCAGGGCGCGTCTGCACTCTAAAGCTCTCACAAAGGCGAGCGTGCCTAGTTGCCCAACCTCGGCCACGGGGGCATCACCGGGTACTCTAGTAGCTTGGCTTCTTTGGCAGGTCTCGTCTTCTTGGTTTTTGGATGTGGTGCGCCAGATGCCTCCCCCGCAACCAGGGTCCCGCGCGCCGCACGCTTTGGGGGCCTCCCTCTGAGTTTCGAAGTGGGATGCAGTGGAGCGGGTTGCTTGCCCTCTGGAGCAGTCTTTAGAGAGCTGGCTGGACTTTGCACGCAAAAGTTGTTTTGTCACGATAGACGATGATCTCTTTCTTGGGGCGCCTCTGCATTCCCCTTCACAGGGATGCAGTCCCGAGGGCTGACTTTGGACCTTGCAACGTACGGTAACTGCTGGTTCGTAAAATGAGAATCGCCAGATTTCCAGAAGCGAATGCACTCTGCATATGCTTAATACACTGCACTCTTTGCTTCCCTTTAGTCTCTCTACTTTCTCTGTTGTTGTTGTTGTTAGTCGCGAAGTCGTGGTCGACCCATCGCAACCCCATGGACAACATTCCTCCAGGCCTTCCTGTCCTCCACCATCCCCCGGAGTCCACTGAAGCTCACAACTCCATCTAGCCACCTCATTCTCTGCCATCCCCTTCTTTTTTTGCTTTCAATTGTTCCCAGCATTAGCCTCTTCTCCTGCCTGACTATATTATTATTAACAATACTTTTGCATTGCTTAATTTAAAAAATAAAGTGTCTCACAATAAAATGTATATGTAATACAATCGAATATTGTTTTATGTTGTATTACATTTGCATTTTATATATAATGTATTATGTTGGGCTGTATTTTATTGTATTTGTTGTCTGTGGTTTTCTGAATTTTTGAACAGCTAGAGAGCTTCAGTTATTGGATGGTTATTTATTTATTTATTTATTTATATCCTGCCTTTTCTCCTTTCAAGGAACTCAAGGTGGCTTACTATTCTCCCCCACTTCTCAGTCTTGTTCCTCACAACAACTCTGTGAGGTAGGTTGGGCTGTGAGTCTGTGCATGGTTCAACGTCACTCAGTTAGCTCCAGAGTTGAGTGGACATTAGAACCCAGATCACCTGAATCCCAGTCCTGCACTCTTATCCATTACACCACACTGATTCTCTATGCAGAAAGGAAAATAATATTGCTAATAACATAATTTAAAATAGTTTTAGAGTTTTAAAGAGTCAGACTCTCATTTCCCCAGTGTGTTTGCTGACTGCAGACAGTCTGAGATTCTGAGGGATAATGTTTCAGTTGCTCAGAGTGGCTATGGTCAAATCTAACATCCTGTTTCTGACTAGGGAGGCAGATGAGGCATTTTAAAATAAAGGTCTGGCCCCAAGTTTCGGTGGCAGTGACTGTGGCAAATTTGTGTATTTAATCTGGACCTGCTCAATCATATCTTCACAAGGGTGAAGGAAGGAGAGTACTCTCCCACTTTATTTCCTCCCCAAAGTAATTTGTGCTTAAGGCACTTTTCTTCCAGTTGGACTTGGTTCTGGAATTGGGCCCAACTGGGTGAAACAGAATCTGGGTATCAGACACCAGGGACCCTGGGTAGAGGAAAATTCTGCCTCCACCCATATATCTCCTTTGCTCTTCAAGTTGTCACCTTGCTTTTTAAGTTATCTGGGCAAATATAGATTGGAATTGATATGTTTACTAGCCCTGTTTAGCAGCACCGGCTAAATCAAAGAGATGTGATAAGCTAGTTTAAGTCATCTGAATTCTGTTTTGTTATTCTTCACTATGACATTGATTGCTTTTTCTTACTGAAATTTGACATATTTTGTCAAATAAGAATGTTAGAATTGCATTCCTGCTTTATAAAACGGTAGAAAGGGAGCATATTGTGACAGCCCCCCCCCCATAGCCACACATGGATAGGATTAGACGTAGACATATCGTTAGACACATGACTAGATGGGCTTGCAAAATGCTTGTAGAACACACAGTATACTGCCTGCTGCCTGTCTGGTGCAAAGGTTGTGGATTTCATTTGCCATTTAGATAGACCTGCAGATACTTGTGGGGAGGGGGAATCAATGATGTGGAGAAATGTAATCATGAGGTCCTGGAAGTCAAATTTAGGTTGCTAGGTAGAAGGTTGAAATCCAGGAGCATTAAGGTGGCTTTACAGCTATCATTGCTTCTTTTGGGAGGAGATTCAGCCTCAGATTTAGACCTCATCCATCTGACTCTCACCTCCAGGACAAGAGCCCTACAAGTACTGCTCTCCCCACAGATTTTTCAACAAAGAGTAAAAGTGTTACAACAAAATACCATGATCCACAGTACCAAATGTTTTGCAAGAGTATCAGTAAGGATGCAGTACTTCCTGCACAGTCTATCTATAGCTGCACATCATCCACCAGAGCAGTTGTCCCTTATCTTGGTCCCATATGCATCTTGGAAGACTGCTAGGCAGATCATCAAGGAAAGTTGAAATTGCTATGCCACCATTCATTCAATAAGGTTTAACCCCAAAGGGAGATTTGAAACAGGCCTATAACTAGAAAGATCTTTTCTACATAATGATCTTTTTTTACAGAGGACTTTAATTACTAAGAATTCACTGATGCAATTGCTGGGGTAAGGGACAATTGACCCTATCTTGTCATTTCAGATGAACTCTTTAACAAATCAGTCCGAGTTCTCTGCCATTTGTTGCAATTGTCTCCTTACTTTTTCATAATCCTCACTTCTATCCTCTGTGTATAGAGCTGAGTTTCTCTTAAAATGAGAGGGGTGGTGCAGCAATCTGCTGTATCACTGCAAGCAACTTCCCATTCTAGTTGTCAGTCAAGACTTCAAATATTTCACAGTATAATTAATCATTCAATAATACCTTGCATTTACATTCATTTCTCAGGCATTAACCCAGTGATACCATGTTAGGTCAATGCTATTCTCATATTACCTATGTCTGGAATATACATGGAGATAGCTGAGAGATATTAACTTGTGTAAGGCCATCTTGTGTGTTTGAAGAATAGGTAAGATTAGGACCATGGTTTCTTTGGCTTTCACAGCTCACACTCTCGGTCAGGGTGTTACATGAGTGCTCAATAGTTAGTTTATATTAAGGATGTGAAACATCCAGACTGCAGGCTTATAAACTTTATAGTTAGTAGGACTCTAAAGGAAAAGAAGTGCTGTCTAGAGTTGATATAGAAGGCCAAGTAAAATTGAGTGCAAATTATATCCAAACAAGGATGTGAGTTGCGAGACTTGATTCATGCCTGTGAAGGATCATCCAGTTTTGCAAAGCACTTTCAGACCAACTTTTGGATCTGTGAATTACATGTTTGTGCAGCACAGTCTTAAATCAGTCCCACTTAATTCAGTGGAGTTTACATTCCAACAAGTATGCATATCATTGCAGCTTAAGGAGGACGAAAGGGTATGTAGAAGATTTTTCCTGCAGCTTCACTTGTATAAACAAAGCATCAGTGAGAATGTACTACATGATGGGTATGGAACATTTATTCATGTTAAAGAATCATACCAAAATGTCCTATGACCTTCATAAAAGCTTCAGAGTTTTTCTGACAGGACTATTCTTGGTTACTGTTCGCTAGACTCGGATGTTTCATATGAGGTCACACATCTATTTGCAGACTTTAAGTGTGTCCTGTTGCTTGCTTACAGTAAATAAATTGGATCCGTGATCTTGATGTAAACATATGCACTGGCATGAATGAGTCTATTCAGAGTTTGAAACACCTTGGCAAGCAATGAAACCTTCCTTCTATTTGAAACCTTCCTTCTATTTAAAACTTTCTATACTATTTGAAAAAGAGTCAAATAGTATTTGGGCCTTGTTGCAATACATCTTAAACACACTGAGTATAAGCTTTGGTTTTTCTGTAGCTATAACTGGAGAATCAAGCACATAGCTTTGTGCTCCTTGAAAGAAAAGTGGGATGATAGAAACTATGTTATAATGTATTATTAATTAAAAGGCTTAGAGAACAGTCCTGTGGTCCTAGACTTTGTCTGGCAGTGGGGAGGGGGATATGATAGTTCTAATTCTCAGATTATGGCCCAACTTTCACAGCCATACATTACAACTGAGAAAACCATAGCCTTGAGCTATACTGAGCACCGAACGCCTTTGAATTGTGGTGCTGGAGGAGACTCCTGCGAGTCCCTTGGATTGCAAAGAGATCAAACCAGTCAGTCTTAGAGATGATCAACCCTGACTGCTCTTTAGAGGGCCAGATACTGAAGATGAAACTCCAATACTTTGGCCACCTAATGAGAAGGAAGGACCCATTGGAGAAGACCCTAATGCTGGGAATGATTGATGGCAGAGGATGAGGTGGCTAGATGGAGTCACTGAAGCAGTCGGTGTGAGCTTATGGAGGACAGGAGAGCCTGGAGGGATGTTGTCCATAGGGTCGCGATTGCTCGGGCACGACTTTGCAAATAACATAATTCTCAGCTCTCAGGTTGGAGACAGCGCCCTGACTTCAGACGTGAGAATTAGAGCCCCAATTCAGTCCCTCAGAAATAACCATGCCAACTGCTTTCTGAGCTCAGAAAACCTTGAAGAGGGGTAGAAGGGGTGTTTCAGGAGATGAGGAGGGGAGGAGACAGAATTAGCCTGCATGTGAGATATGCCAGCGCTCCAGCCTCCTCCCCTCCCCTTCTGAAATGCCATTGCTAGATGCCTGAAAATGGCTGTCCAGTGAAAATGCAGAATGAGAAGAGCAGGGAGGCAAAAATTACCCTTCTGCTCCCTCCATTCTGCATTGGATGTCTGTGAGCCATTGTTTTCAGAAGTTTCTGGGCATCCCCATAAGACTGATGAATGATGAAGTCCCTAGTCAAACCCTGCTTTGGTAACAAATTTAATAACCTTACACAG